TAGCATCCATTTTGATGGCTGGGACAATGAGTATGACCAGTGGGTGGACTGCGAGTCTCCAGACATTTATCCTGTGGGGTGGTGCGAGCTGACAGGCTACCAGCTTCAACCACCTGTTGTTCCAGGTGAGTGAAGATTTTACTATGGTTTCTAATGCTGGAGGCAAAGGTTTCCTTCCTCCTGCTCTGTGAGTGGCTTCTCCTTTTTTTGAGCCTTGTAGGGAGGAGAAAATTGCCTCCTTGATTTGCACTGGCTACCATAGGTCATCCTCTGCTGCCACACATTCTAACAGCTGGCAGAGGGAGGAATCTGTGGTGGGAGAAAACAGCCCGAGATTGGAGGTTGGCTCTGTTCCCCCACCTGCATACCAACAGAGAATTGCTCCTGATGAAGTCGGGCAGAGTTCCAGGCAGTCCTGTCCCTGCACAGCTCCCTTTTACTAAGCGTACCTACAACCTCAGCCAGGTAGCAAGGGGAGCTCGGCCCCTGCTCCCTTTTCTCATCAATTCACTGACTCTGTCTGTAAAAGGCAAGAGCATCCCTCTCAAGAGTTTATTCCTTCCCTTGTCACAGGGAGGCCACTGCCTCACCTTTGCAGATGTTTTCCTTCTTGTCCCAAGCTATGAATCTTGTTTCTTTACTGCCCCTGCCAAATCTCTACTGGGCCTCTCTTCCCCTATGCTGCCCCAGCCTGCCACCCTGGGCCCTCGCCTGGAAGCACAGGCAGCATCTACGCTAGAGCCTTGCTTTCCCCTCAGCTGGCTGTCTTGGGAAGAGGGCATTGGCTCGGGGGGACGGGTATATCTTGTTTCTCGCTTATGTCACTTCATCCCAGTTACCTACTGGTTATGGGACTTGGCTTTCGTTTCCCTCTCGTCTCCATGACAGAGCCCACAACTCCAGTGAAGGCCAAGGAGGTGCCCAAGAAGAAGAAGAAACCCTATGGAAAGAAGAGTGAGTTATGTTTGATTAGCGCCCTCCCGCTCGCTCGCAGGCTGGGCCCAGTTAGAGGAACTCTGTCCATGTCCTATAAGAGCAGGAGAGAGAGGCCTTGTCTTGTGGATGCCCTCAGTCACCTGTGGGTTTGACAACACAACTTCATCTTTAACTGCCCTATTACCTGAAAGAGCAGAGCTCTGTGTGTGGGAAGGATCTGTTTTGTAGTCTGTTTTCTGTTGGCCAAGGTATAGATGGCACTTGTTTCCAGGAGAGGTTGTGCTGCTTACCCTATTGTGTCCGTGGTCAGAGGGAGATTGTTTGCTGCAGCTGGAGGGTAGCAGGAGAGCAACCCTGCCTGCTTTGTGCTGAGAGAGAGAAGGCCTCAAAATGGCTGAAGAGGCCAGTAGTGGGACTGGACCATGTTATTGTTCCATTTTGTTGTTGTCATCATTGTTGCAGTAGCTGTGGCAAATCATGTGTAGACAGGCAAGAAATTCCTTCCTGGGGGGTGGAGACGAAAGGACATCTAAAGAATATAAAGACGTTCAACCTAAATAAAACGTCATGTAGAAATAAAAACATTAATGCTGCAATGTCATTGCCTATGACTAGACCCAGACAGGTAAGCAAAGCTGACTCCAGACTGATTCCAACAGGACCTGCTCCTTGGAAGTTAAGCATGTGCTGAAGTGCCTTGCCTTTAATGAAGGAGAACACGGAGGAGCATATTTTGAGATGACTATAGAGTTTTTCTTCAGTAGGCCATTTCTGTTAAGTTACCAGTTGGCAGCTAATGACTGTGTAGCTTGCTGGTCAGTTGTGCTGGTCCCTGGCCTGTGGTTTCTCAGTGGAGCAGGGTTTGTGATTTTTCCAGGGAAAAAGAAACACACTTTTCCCCAATGCTCTGTTATCTCTTTGTTAAGGAAAAAGGTTACCTGCCCAAACCCGCAACATCAAGCAGACTGTTAAGAAGCCTACCCTGAAGACCAAACGAGAAGCAAAAGCTGCCAGCAAGGCTTTGCCAGAGCCAGCACCTGATGAGAGTAAGGCAGTGAGTTAATCTACCCAGCAACCACGTGCAACTCTAATACACCCTGCATGCCACTGGCCCCTGCCCCTGAGGCCTGGGCTGCCTCTTGGCTGTTAAGTCATGGGTGCCCACAGGCAGGGAAAGGCAGCACTGTGACAAATGTCCCTCCCCACTCCTCCAGAGACAGAGAGAGAGTGGATGAAAGCCTTTGCCTGCTTCTCCTGGGAAAGTTTACCTCCTGAGAAGGTTTGGTGGCACCAGTACGGGTAGATATCTTGATACTGCTGATGAGCAGGCAGACCCTCAGCAGGTGACTGAGCAGCCTCGTTCTGTGAGGTCAGGAAGGAGAGACAAGATGGACATGTCAGAAGTGTGCTGTCACATCCCAGGCCCCATAAGGCTGCTGCAGCATGTGAACACAGCCCATTTTGATGAGCACCAAGAGGTGTGGTGACCAGAAGACCCATCTGGCAGCTTGGTCACCTGCTAACCCTGGGTGAGGTGCTTTGTGCATGTGGGGCTGGAGCTTCGTGAAGGTCCCTGTTGCTCCTAGAGGTTTCATTTACCCTGTGGGAATCCAGGCAGGTAGAGAATGGACCACACTACCTTTTCCTCCATTGGCCCTAAGAGATGTTGTTCTTGGGAGCAGGCAGCTCAGTGTTGCCAGGGTTTAATCCTGTCCTGATCACTTCTGTGACCATGGTTAGACTTGTGCTGACAAGACAGGGCTAAGGGATCCTCAAGGAGGTGGCTGGGAACTTGGGGCATTTTGAGTGTCTGCATGAGCAGAGCTGCTTCTGGGGTGCTGCACATAGAGCCAAGCAGCACGGGTTAATTTTACTTAAGTATTTTTCCCTCCCTCTTTCTGTCTGTTGCTAGTCATTGCAGTGCAGGTGAAAGAAGAAACCATTGACCCCTCGGTAGAGTTTGGAACCACAGAGCTTCCTGTTCCCATCAGCAGCATTAAGCAGGAGGTCACAGACTGATCCTGGAGTATCCCCCAGCTGCCCACAGCAGCCTGCGCTTCACCTCGTGGCTCTCTGGAGAAGTCCTGAGCAGAGGGAAGCAGAAGACTAAAGACTTCTTTTTTGAGACAGACTGCCCTGCAACATCACAACTCTGCTTTCCTGGTATGCAAGAAAATTTCCCCCAGGCTTGTTATTTTAAGCCCTGGGAGACAGACTCCAGAAAGGCCGCAGGCATGCTGAGGAGCATGACCAGGGTGGCTGCTGGGGTTGTGTGTGCCATGCTTTGAAGGCACCTTTCTGAGAATGAGCTCCCAATGGGGAAGGAGGCTGCCAGAGCACGAAGGGGTAGTTTGGGTTCTCGGCTGTGGTTGGAGATGGCGAGCTGCAGTCTGAGATGATGTGTGCAGGTCACATGTGTCAGGAAATTGTTTGCCCTTGTAGGACATTGGTTCCATGCTCCCTGGTCTAGGCCCTGCAACCCCCAAGAAAGTCAGGACAGGAAGGGTGAAAAGTGAAAAAAACAAAATGGGGTGATGATGCCTCTTAAGGGAGCAAGAGACCTTATTGAGTGTCATCACTTCCTGCTTCTGAACCCAGAACTACAGAGGAGTTTGAATTTTTAATTTTTTAGGAGTCCTACTGTAAATTTGATTTATGATCTGTACCCTAAAGCCCTGTGAATTAAACTTGAAGAAGCCAAAAGCTTGTGAATTGCTTTCTGGGTCACCATACCAGGGTTAGCCAAGACAGGGAGGAGAAGAGAACTGTAAGTGGATAGGTGGAAGTAAACAGTGTTTTGGGGTGGTTTGGGTTTGGGGTTTTCTTTTGAGGCATACAACAGGGTTTTTTTGGGCACTCGCCACTACCTACTTGCCAGTTCTGCATAAGGGTTGAGTATCACAAGAGCACATTAGATAAGGCAGGGGATGTCATTTCCTGGTTTAGGGCAAAACTGTAACATTCCTCTCTTTCCCCAGACTGGCCATCAAAGTTCAGGACAGAAATCAGAAAGGTCAGTATGGCAACAGTAATGAGAAACAGTTTAAATCTGTAACAGGTTCCTGTGAACTTTCTGCAGGTGAGGAAGTGCCCAGCCTGTCCGTGCCACTGCAGGGCCTGCCCAGCTGTAGGGCAAGTGCCTTGTCAAACCCTATGGGGAAATGGTGGCTGCCCACGACACTGCCTTGGCCATAAAATGGCTGCCTTGGCCATGCTTCCCCACAAGCTTCAAAGCAAAAGCTTCTGATGCCAAAATAGTTCCTGCTTCATGATGAAAAAAAAAAAAAAAGTTGGCAAACTGTCTGGAAAACATGGGACAGAGACTGGGAGTAATTAACAGAGTCGTCTTCTTTTTCTCTTCTGAAGAAGCAAATGAAGCCTTTAAGAGGAAAGGGAGGAAAGGGCAGTGGGGGAGCAATGAAACAAGTGGAAAAAGTGGAGGGGATCTGTGTCAAACCGGGTGGGAGAGCTGTGCCATCCCAGTCCATCCTTAATTGACGCCCTGGGAGGGCCCTGGGCTCCTGAGGAAACTGTGATGGAGTAAATGAGGGGTGTGGGATTTTCACTGAAGGTGTGTAACAGGCTTTCCTGCTCACCTGCCTGTGGCTGCTTGCCTGGCATGGCAGCTCTGCCTATCTCCAGCTTGCAATAGATGTCTTAATGCAGGAGAATCTCATTTCAGAGCAAAGCCATTCATTGCATTTCTCCTTTCCCCTCCCTTGTGGGCTGCCGCCTTTCCCCAGCCTTGCCAAACAGCTGGACTTGTAGGGCCACCTGTCTTTTTAGGATGATAATTTCCAAACACCTTTGATGTTCTTCTTCCTGTTTCTTTTCTATAACAGTTCTGTGCCCCACGTGGTCCTTTAATGGCTAGAAGTGGTTATTTTTAAAGCCTTCTCAATTTGAACCAACTTCTGACTTTAAAATGGGACCTGGGGGTCCCATCCTGGGCTGTCATAGGGAATAGGTTGGGCACATCACTTATGATGGGATCACTTATGGGATCAGTGATCCCATTCCACCAGTTGGACCACTGATCAAATATTTTGCAAGAAATAAAAAGGTTTTGATCTACTTATGTTTTAATTGTGAGGAGTTGTTGGGAATTCAGACAATGTGTTCACTGATGATAATTTTTAAGTTTTCTGCTCTAAGACTTGAGCCAGTGCAAGATCTTGGGCTGAAAGCACAGTGCTCTTAAAAACAAAACCAAACTTATAGATTCCAGCTTTTCCACATGGCTGGAAGGAGCCTTGGGAAGATAAATCAAGTATTTGGCTTGGTTGTTTGAGTCATCAAAGTATGCTGCAAACACTAGGAAGCTTTTTGTACCAGTTCTTTCCAGGGTCCTGTAAAAAAAAGCCCTGCATCTTTGACAAATCGGCATTGCTTCAGTGGCACCAGGCTCTCTCCTTTGCACCTTGTGCAAGATGCATGTCACCACAGTGGGGACTGGTCTAGAACTGCTCTCACCAGACTGTAGGTACAGCCCTCTGACATCCTGCACACATTTCCTAAGCTCTGCTCTTCTTGAAGCCTCTGGCTGGTGATTTGCCTGATCTCTTTTTCTTCGTGGGCTTGCTCGCAGCCTTGATCTTGTCAGGATGGGCTCCCCCAGCCTTGCCTCGGCCCCAGCCAGGGCAGGTTTGGAAAGTGGTGGAAAGCTTCACCTTCAGGCCCAAGGCTTCTGCAGGGGACCCACAGGTGGCCCCTACACGGAGGTTGAGTTTGTCGATCCACCTGGAAACATGGCAGGAGATCAGGAAAAGGAACAGGAAGGGGCAAAGGAAGAGGCAAAACTCGGCCTGTGAGTGGGTGTGGGTCACTTTAAAGCCAGGCCAGGTTGCTCAGGGTCTCACGTGGGTGACTCTTGACTATCTGAGTATCTCCCTACCCCAGCACGTGGTTGCTCTCCCTACACCAGGAAAGCCCAGGCTGTTTCCATCCTTGCACATAGGCACATGCTCCATCTTGCCACTGTGGGAGAAGACCCAAAATGGCCAGTGTGCTGTGGGCTTCTGCCTCTGGCATGGCAAGGTCACCGGGGCTGTTTCCGCCTCACAGCACTCACCTGCGCAGAGGAAGAAGCTGGCAGTCGCACTGGAATGGCACATCCCTCAGGTTGAGGATCTCCAGCCCTGTGAAGTTGCTCATGTCAGGGATGTTGCTCATTTTGTTACTCTCCAGGTAGAGGCTTCTGATCTTGGGACCAAGGCCAGCAAAGGCACCGGGGGAAATCTGCAATGAAGGTAGGGTGTGTCAGGGGCATCTGGATGCGGGCAGAGATTTGCTCCCCTGCCCCTACACTGCTTATCAGCCCGGGGAGCTGAGACAGCCTGTCCTGAAGCTGGCAGCCCCATGGAAGAGCTGTTCTAAGCAGCAGCACATGTGCTAGGGGACTGTTAATTAACTCAGCCAGTTCTGGCCACATTTTGGACTCACTAGACCCTGCTCAGTCTTCCTAGAAGGAAGGTGACCCACAGGAGGTCTTAGAGTGATCTCTGGGTGCTGTTAAAGGTGGATGGTCCTTATGAGAGTGGTACTAACACTGCTTTCTTTAGAGGCTGGAGGAATTTAGGGTAATGGTGGTGAAGAGTCCTGCAGGACAGCTTGTAATAAGAGCAGGAGAAATAAGACAGTGGCCATGGGAAGAGGGTGATTTGGGGAATGGTCTGGACCCCTCTGAAACTGGGTGTGCTTAAGGTCTGGAGGGAGTGAGGCTGTCCTGGGGGAGCTGGAGGAAGGATTAGAGCAAGACAAAGCTCCAGCTGAGCCCAAAGCAGCCTCTCCTCCCAGCCAGGCTAGGGAGCATCTCCTAAAGCCTTTGGGAGTTCAGGACATCTGTTTGGATGTCCCTATTAGGGGCCACCAGCCCTGGGCCCTGGAATGAGATGGGATCTATGGCTGTGCCCTGTGGTGCTCCTGACCCCCATGGGTCCCCAGCCACACACACCTGCTCCAGGCCCATGTTGTCCAGGTAGAGGTGCTGCAGGCTGGAGGCCACCGGCAGGAAGGCGCCTTCCCCCACGTGCTTTATGGGGTTTCGGGACAGCTTCAGCTCACTCAGGGAGGGCAGGCCCTGCAGGGCCGCTGTGGGCACCTCCACCAGGTAGTTTCCCTCCAGGTGCAGCTTCTCCAGCATCTTGGCAGGAGCTAGGGCTGTGGGGGCGACAGACCTGATGGCATTCCCAGCAAGATAGAGCCAGCGCAGCACCCCAGCCCCGGCCAGGTCACCCTCCGCCAGCTCCTCAATGGTGTTGTGCTGCAGGTGGAGGGAGATGAGGTTGGGCAGAATCTGGAAGGCATCTGTGGGCAGGCGGGTGAAGGTGTTGCGGTCCAGGTCAAGGTAGGCCAGCCGTGGGGCCCCCTGGAAGGCAGTGGCAGCCAAAGTGGAGAGGCAGTTGTCAGTGAGGTAGAGGTAGACCAGACTGTCCAGCCCCTGCAGCGCCCCGGAGCGCAGTGTCCTGATGCTGCATCTCTGGAGGTGGAGGGACACCAGCTCCTTCAAGCCAGGGAAGGCACCTGGTGGCACTGTCCTGAAGGTGTTCTGACGCAGGTCAAGGAGGCGGGTGTCCCTAGGAAAGCCTTGGGGGATTTTCTGTAGGGCCTTGTTCTTGCAGGACCCATGGTGGATATCGGGGGAACAGGTGCATCCCTGGGGGCATTGCCCACTGCCAGCAGCTCTCGGCTGTTGTGATGGTGTGGTGGGGCTGGGGGGTGGCCGAGGGTGACTGCATCTCATCTCTTGGGGCCTCAGGGAGTCAAGGGGCCGGCCACGGAGGGCAGGGGGTGCAGCACAGGCCCCCTCCACCTGCACCCATGCCCTCACCAGCCAGTCGTGGAAGGGGCGCAGAAGGCAGGAGCAGAGCAGGGGGTTCCCAGTCAGGCTGACCCTCACCAGTCCCCTGACGCCAGCGAGGGGTGGCAGCCCCTGCAGCTGGTTTTCACGGAGGTCCAGTGTGCGCAGCTGAGGGCTGTGGGCAAAGGCGTTGGGTGCCATGTCCTGGAGGGAGGCGTGGTCCAGGAAGAGGTGCTTCAGGGAGGCCATGGCCAGGGCCTCCTCAGCCACATAGGTGATGGGGTTGTGGCCCAGGTCCAGGCGGGTGGCCTCATCCAGCCTGGCCAGGGCCTCCCCAGGCAGTGCCTGCAGCTCATTGTGGTCTAGGCTCAGCCTGCGCAGGGCAGGCAGCGTGGCGAAGGCCTCGCTGCCCAGCACATGGAGAGCATTGCGGGACAGCCGGAGCCACCTGAGGGCCTGCAGACCCTGGAAGACCATGTCTGGGAGGTAAACCAAAGCATTTGCCCTCAGGTCAAGGATAGTGAGGGACCCCAGATGGCTGAAAGCACCTGGCTGGATCTCCTCAATGCGGTTCCCCTCCAGGATGAGCTGCTGGAGGGAAGACAGCCCGTCCAGGGACTCCTGGTAGAGGAGGGTTATGCCATTGGAGGCCAGGTTGAGGTATACCAGCCTCCCCAGCCCGCGGAAAGCTCCTTCCTCCAGCCTCTCCACCTTGCAGCGCTGCAGGTCCAAGTGTGTGAGGTACGGGGTGGCAAGGAAGGCTCCCACTGGGATGACTGTGAAGCTGTTGCCACGAAGGTCCAGTTTTTTGGTGAGCTGTTGCACCCACAAATAAAACACTGCGTTACCCCAGGGCTGCCATCCCCACCTCCCCTTCCCTCTGTCTCCTGCCCATCCCTTCACCCACCTGTGGGATGGTGCCAGGGATGGCTGTCAGGTTCCCATTGAGGCAGAGGACGTGGGCATGGAGGTTGTCACAAATGCAGGGTGCAGGGCAGCGGGCAGCAGCCGTCCCCCCTGGAGCCAGGGTCACCGTGAGCAGGAGGAGCCCCCAGGACAGCCTCATGGTGCGGGAAACCTGCAGCTGCGGAGAGACAGCAGTGAGGCCAGGAGCGGGGCCAAGCTCCTGTGTGTCCCCAAACAGCATCACCTACCAGCAGCAGGTGCTGGGGGGGTGCTGTGACCTAGTGAGGCAGGTCTCACTGTCTCTTGCTCTCACACCATGATTTTGCAAGTTATAAATGAGGAAGAGAACAGAAGAAGGAGAAATGAAATATTTAGAATGAAAAGTCACAGATAGCAAGCCTCTGTTTGGAAACAGCTTTTACCTGAGTTAGCTAAATTCCCCGAGGGACAGCTGGGAGCACCTATGAGGGGCTTGGCAGGAACATGGGAGCACTCATGGGGAGCTGGCTTGGAGCACACTACCTCCCCCCTGTCTCTT